TTAATAAGAAATTTATATGCATTTGCAACTTTTTAAATTATAGCTAAGAATTATTCATTGCTACCAGAACAAATATGTTTCCATCACAGAATTGCATAAAAATCAAAACTTTTTATGTATTCATGTTTCAAATCGCACCAAAACTTCGGATTAGAGGAGAATATTTCCAAACTTCTAAGTCTGCCTTGTTATAAAACACATTGTTGGACATACAACAAGAAACCCAGGGGATGAATCTCAGGCCTGCTATTGTTTTATTTGGCATGAATATATCAAGATTGTTCGTTTGCTAATTTTTAAAAATAGTGTCCATTTTATAGGATTTGTGATTGTCAGCTATAAAATATGTGTAAGTGGGGAAGAAAAATATTCAAAATAAATGAGTTGAGGTCATAACCACATACATGGCGTGGTTCAGGTTCTGGCTGGGAAAAGATATAGAAAATTCTGCTGTCAGGACACAACTTTAGGAAAACTATTCCTGCTCCACTATTCACAACATTCCTGGCTATTGAAAATGTGAAACATAAATATACAACTAAAAAGAATCACTTGGATCTGTGAGCCAAAAAACTCAGACCTTACCAGTCATTCAAAATTTAAAAAAAAAATAAAATTAGAAAGACTATTTGATGTGGAGTAGGATGCCAATCTCCGATGTCTGCCATAAAATAGTTGATTGACTGTAAGGTCTGTAATACGTTCACATAAACCAATGGCCCTAAAAATTTAGTGCACAAGACTCATCTAAGGTACGTATTAAAAATATAGATTTTTCTTCTATTAATTGCTAGAGAATCTGATTTGCTAGATCAACAATGTGGTAGAACTATGTTTTTTAACTAGAATTATAGCTAATTTTTTAAAAGATTTATTTATTTATTTGCAAGTCAGAGTTACACAGAGATAGGAGAGGCAGAGTGAGAGAGCGAGAGAGAGAGGTCTTTCATCCGATGGTTCACTCCTCAATTGGCCGCAACAGCCCGAGCTGCGCTGATCCAAAGCCAGGAGCCAGGAACTTGTTCCAGGGGCCCAAGGACTTGGGCCATCTTCCACTGCTTTCCCAGGCCACAACAGAGAACTGGATCGGAAGTGGAGCAGCTGGGTCTCAAACCGGAGCCCACATGGGATGCCAGCGCTTCAGGCCAGGGTGTTAACCTGCTGTGCACAACGCCAGCCCCTATAGCTTATTTTGATACTGGCAATCTATATGATATTTGTGAAAAGTTATACAAAGTCAATTAAATTCAGTTACAGGAGTTCTAAATTCATCAATACCAAATAAAATGATAAATTATCAACTATTATAGTTTCCTCCTAAATTTATAAAATTACTCTGTAGTAGTTAATAATAATAATATCTACAACTAACTGAGCACCAAAGGGAAAACTTGTTGAAGTGAAATGGACACTATGAGAAAAAGTGACTTGATCAGCTCTTGTCCTGACGGCTGATGTGCAATGTAATGCTTTATCCATTTTAGTATTTTTTTTGTTCTAGTACCATTGGTTGAACTCTATAATTAACACCCAATTATTCTTAGGTGTTTAAATTTTAACTGAAAAGTGATCCCTGTTAGGAATTTGGAAAACATTATGCTGAGTGAAATAAGCCAATCCCAAAGGGACAAATACCATATGTTCTCCCTAATCGGTGACAACTAACTGAGCACCAAAAAGGAAACCTGTTAAAGTGAAATGAACACTATGAGAAATGGTGACTTGATCAGCCCTCACCGTGACTGTTGATGAGCAACTTAATATGTTATCGCTCCTAGTATTTTGTTTGTTTGTTTGTTCTACTTAATACCTTTGGTTGAATACTGTAATCAATACACAATTCTTCTTAAGGGCTGAAACTTAACTGAAAAGTGATCACAGTTAAATATAAGAGTGGGAATAAGAGAGGGAAGAGATGTGCAATTCGGGACATGCTCAAGCTGACTTACCCCAAACGGTAGAGTTAGAAACATACCAGGGGATTCCAATTCAATCCCATTAAGGTGGCATGTACCAATGCCATCTCACGAGTCCCAGTGATCAATTTCTGTTCACAATTGATCATAATGATAGGACTAAGAACCAAAGGGATCACATAAACAAGAATAGTGTCTGCAAATACTAGCTGATAAAATAAAAAAGGGAGAGAACCATCCAACATGGGAAGTGAGATACATAGCAGACCCATAGAATGGCAGATGTCCTAAACAGCACTCTGGCCTCCGAATCAGCCGTTAAGGCATGTGGATCCGGCTGAAAAGCCCATGAGAGTATTTCAGGCATGGAAAGCCAAGATACTCTGGGGAAAAAAAAATAAAAAATAAAAAATGAAATAAAAAAAATAAAAAAACCTAAATGAAAGATCTCTGCGAGTGAGATCCCAGTGGAAAGAACGGGTCATCAAAGAAGGAGGTACCTTTCTCTGAAGGGAGGAGAGAACTTCTACTCTTCTACTTTGACCATGGCCTTGTCTAAATATGATCAGAGTCAGTGAACTCAGGGGGCTTCCATAGCCTTGGCAGCTCATGACAAGAACCTAGGGTTATTACTGATGCCATAAAGAAGAGTGTCAATTTGTTAAGTCAACAACAGGAGTCACTGTGCATTTACTCCTCATGTAGGATCTCTGTCCTTAGTGTGCTGTACATTGAAATTTAATGCTGTAACTAGTACTCAAACAGTATTTTTCATTTTATGTTTCTGTGTGGGTGCAAACTGTTGAAATCTTTACTTAATATATGCTAAACTGATCTGTATATAAAGAGAATTGAAAATGAATCTTGATGTGAATGGAAGGGGAGACGGAGTGGGAAAGGGGAGGGTTGTGGGTGGGAGGGAAGTTATGGGGGGGAAGCCATTGTAATCCATAAGCTGTACTTTGGAAATTTATATTCATCAAATAAAAGTTAAAAAATAAAAAAATAAAAAATAAAGCTTTTAAAGACAAAAAAATAAAAATAGAAATAAATCCCAAGCCTAATCTACAAAGCATTTCATGACTTTCGCTCTAAGCCCTTGAATCATCTTTCCTCAGCCCTCTCTATTCTCTTCCTTTTTCCTTCCTTCCAATCCCGAATCTCATTTCTCATTTCTGTAACTTTGCACATTCTGATCCTTCCACTTGTTATATTCTAATCTTTTTTTGCCAGCATGATAAACTCCTTGCTCTTGGGACTTAAGCCCTACAGACAGCTCTGATTAAAATGCTTTCCTGGGGTCCTCCTCATTTCTTCTAAGCAGACTTATGCCTTCTCATTTTACCATTCGCAATACTTTCTAAGGATTTATAATTTTTGGTGCTTATCAATTGTGAAAATCAGACTACCTGTTGGAACATAGCAACCAAGATCCCTTATAGAGATCTTGTGCTTTCTGGGTGCTGCTGGGCCATTCTCCGATTTTACCCTATCCTATAGCTGGGAATCTGGGAGGTAGGGTGAGCATGACATGGTGGAGCCTACATGCCTCTCTTGTCTAATACACTCCAGATCCTGGGACATGAGATATTTTTCCCCTCAAAGACTGCTTGCTCTGATGCTAGTGGCTGGATGGGCTTCTTTCTATTTGTATTCTAAGTGTGGTTATCACTAGTTCCAAACACAGCCAAAGCCGATGAATAGATGTTGAGTAGGATGGCTAGAATATGGACAAGAAGGCTATGATGTTGATTTGTGCATGCAGAAGGTCCCTTTCAGTGAGAAACATTATCAGTGGTAAGGGGGTTGTGAGCTGGGGAACATTTCCATTTGTACTAGCAAAAAAATTGTGGTGTGCTTGGCTGTAATTACTTGTGTTTCTACATCTGTAAACTGAGTACTACCAGGAAGAAAATATTTTCTATTAATCTCTAAAATCCCAGTACTTTGGAAAATATCGTTCATGATTTTGGGATTAGGATTTAATAAATAATAGTTGAAGGAATCAATGATTGAAGACTTAAAGAAATAACTTTAAATTTACAGAAAAAAACTACAACTACTATAATGACACTATCTTCTTATTTTAGTGATCTTGAAGCTTCATATTGGAAAGAAGTAATTATCATTAATAGTGGTTCAAGTACAACTTGAACACAGAACAATTACATCCTATAATAATTCTAGGAGTTCAGTGCTATTTGTATCCCATCTTAGAAATGAAAAAAAAAAAAAAGATGAACAGTAATTTTAAGTACTTTCCAAAATTTGAAAGCTAGTAAAATGGGGAACTGATCCAAACAAACTCTGGCACCAGAGTTTTCAGACAGCCAATTAACCAAGTTGTGGTAAAATTTCAAGAACTGCAAAGAATATTCTCAACTGTATGTTCCTATATTTTCTGTTTTGACTTCCAAAGTACTAAGCTAAACATCTTTCTGGAAATTGAACATCACCAGTAGAGATTCCTAGAGGAAATCATTAGTTTTCTAAAAAGGAGAAAATTTGAATTTCAGGAAAGATAAGCTGTAGTTTAGACACAATAAAAGTACAGGAGGAAAGATTGGGAGGGGTGGGGGGAATGCATTCCATGCAGCAGTTAATACATTGCATGCAATGTCTGTATCTAATAGCATAGTTCCAAGGTTTGAGTACTCATTCTGCTCCTAAGTCCAGCTTTCCATTAATGGACATTCTGGGAGGCAGCAGGAGATGGCTCAAATATTTGGGTCCTGGCCACCCATGTGGGAAACTCAGGCTGTTTTCCAGCTCCTAGCTTTCGCCTGGCCCAATGCCAGCTGTTGTGAGCCTTTGGTTAGTGAATCAGCAAATGGGAGATCTCTCTCCTCTCTCTCTCTCTCTCTCTCTCTCTCTGTGTGTCTCTCTGTCTCCCCAACCCCCAGCTCTCTCTGAGTCTGTGCCTCTCTATGCCTTCCAAATAAATAAAATATTTTTAAAAAGAAATATTTCCAAAAATATGAAATTTTGTTGCTTTTTTTACTACTTGGTTTTGTTTCTCTACATTCTATTTTATCTACAATTGAGATTCTAACACACACACACACACACAAATGCGGTACTTGCCTTCAGGAGTAGGTAATGCTGGAGTAGGTCGAGAAGCTTGTTCTGTCGGTGATGGAGGGGGTATGGCTGGGCTTTGTCCTGTGTATACAAGGCAGGAATAGATGATGAAAAGAAAGTATTAACAAATCTAATATCCATAAATAAATACCTGGTCTGTCCCATCATGCATAATTCATAATTCTGACTAAAAATTCACATTATTATACAATAAGAAAACTGCTATTAGGTGAGATCTTTAAGAGGATACTTTCATAGATTCAGTTATCTCCAGAGCTATTTTTGAATATATTATTTTTCATAGAAATATACACAACATTAAACATATTGACTGGACTTCATGAATGCAAAATCTACATGTGATCAAATAAAGCAGTTTATTTTCAATATGTGTTCTAAATTATGGAAACTCACAGAGGCTGAGAGGAATCTTAATGGAGAGAAAAATCTTTTTATTACCTATAACAATACATTCTCCAATGACATAACAGGACAACAAAGGAAGTTTGAAATTCCTAGTCCTTTTGATATTAAACAGGTTTATTTTTCTCTTGCCAAAACAAATGACTTATAGTTAGGTAAATAATGAGTTGTTAGGAAAATATATTCAGTTTATATAACCTCAAAAGGTTCCCTCAAGTCTCTGGGCTTATGAGCTATAAGAAAAAAAAAGAAGAAAGAAAGAAAAAAGAAAAGAAAAGAATATCACAATCATTTCTGAGTACTTTCTTACCCCAGGTGATTTTTTTTTAATTAACTGGTGCTATCTCGACCATGAACTGTAAACATTAACTATCATATGATCCCACAGGAAATGCTTGCTAAATGTTTTATCATTATTTTTCATTCCATGGACTCCTGGCTGTGTGTTTTTCACCCAGGAATCAACGTGGGCATGTATACCTTTTAAAATTGCACTGTTAACTAGATATTATCAAATGTCAGCAGAGCTGCCTAGTTACTAGAAATGTTCCTCTTTTAGAATTCTTCAAAATTAGTTCTCTGTGGTACAGTATGGTTTATCATGTGGAATGATCAGTGTTGTACACACAAACAAATTGCATATCAGGCTTGGACTCCCTGGCCTGGTAATGCACATTCTTCATTCATTACAGAATTTTCTTCTAATATTAAATTTATATCAATTGATTCTTGAGTTTGTCCCAGTATGCATGAAAACAAAGCATGGTATTTCATAACATACAAGCCATGTGCCTAAAAAGAAAATCAATCCATACTACTATGAATGCTTTCTTCATGAAAGCCAAGATTTGAAAAACATATAAAATGAGTATAATGTGGAAGTTTCATTTTTAGGTAGTAATGAAGATGCAATACAAGAAAAAGGCTTGATTTGCATTGTTCTTCTCTAGCTAACATTTATATAATGCTTATTGTGTGCCCAAAGTTATCCCAACAATTTGTACGTATAGTCATTCAATCTTCATAAGATCATTAGAATGTAGATTATTCCTCATTTTATAGCTTTGAAAATTTATGTAAAGAGGAGATCAGGCCACCTGACTCCTAAGAAGCAGAGCTGGATTCCCACATGGTTCCAGAGTTGCCGTGCTTAAAGCTCCTCTCAGACAGCCCAAGACTGGGTGAAGGATTATCTTCTGTAAGATGCCCATAACTGCAGCTCAAGGGAGACATAGGAATGCATTGTCTACCCTGGTTCTATTTTCTTTGTGAGTCAAAGGGCTAACTATTTAGTAAATTCCATTATTTCTCTTGCTTGAAATCTGCTCCTGAAAAAATATTTCTAAGATAGGATTGCATTTTGTAGCTTTTAAAACCTCAGGAGAGTTGAGATATAAGGACTCACTTACATGACTAAAGTTTAAAGTATGAGGGGACTTCAAAACATCTATGGAAAGAAGAAACTAAATGATGTTTGTTTTGGTGCAAAAAATGAAATTAAATCATTAGTTTTCACAATATACAGCTTTCATTAACCTTTGACAACACTTTATACAAATGTCCATGAATATGAATGAGTTGTTTCTAAATACTGAGACTTTCAAAAATATCTCCATATCTCCATAGAATATTGCCTGTTGAAACTTAGCTGCTGTCTACCTTGTCATACACATCTGTAATCAGTAGTAGATGTATAATCAAGGTCCTATATAGTCTTGAAGAGTTCCTCAGGAATTTAGTACAAAATATAGAATTTCTTTTCCTAAGCAATTACACATAATTCGTTCTACAGGATATTCTTGGATTTACCTAGGAGAACTGAAACTCACTATTCTATTAATATAAAAACTGCAGTGTATACTGGGCAAGATTGCAGAACAATTCCTGGAGGAGATTAATTTAGAGGCCTAAAAGAAATTGGCCAGGGAAAGAAAGGTGAAGGAAATGTAGGAATTCGAGGTAGAAAGTATCTGGTGAAGACAAAACCTGGAACAATAGGAAGAACTATTAAGACAAGCAAACTCATGCTGCTGCAGCAGAAAGTACAATATCCAGTTCATATCAGAAATCCTCTGCAACTGTAGTTGACTTGATTATGCTCTCTAAAACTCCTGACCGCATGGTTTTAAGGCAGTGGACCCAGTGATGAAGCAGAACCACAGAGAAAAAGGGGGAGGAAGCCAGATGGCTGTCTGTCTCCTGGCAGGGAACTATTAACTCAGAGCAAGATTTTGAAATTTTAGGGGCACCAAAACAAATCAGGCATGTCATATTTGATCATGACACAAGACTGTAATAAAAAATAATGTCAGCTCATCCTATTGAAAAAAATGCTGTGTGAAAATAATATATCATACATAATACTGAATACAGTTATATTAAATATTTTAACTGTCATATGCTTTTTAAATGAAAGCAAAGTTGTTTCGTGTTAAGAATTGATCTTTGGGAGTCAGATGGATTTAACTGCAAGTTTCAGCTCTACCATTTAGAAGCTGTGTAAGCCTGAAAATCTCATGATATCTCCAAGCCTCAGTTGGAGCATTTATAAAATGAAGGTGGTTTTTAGGGGTGTTATGAGGATTAAGTGATAAAACACCAAACACATGGCAGATAGTCAAATTATTAATTTTCCCCATAATGTATTTACAATTTAAATCCCATCTAATTACACAAGAGGATTCGAGGCAGACTTTTGAAGTAAGAAAACAAAAACAAAGATAAAATTGAACATGACAGAAATAGCAGAATTCATTTACAAGAAAGAGGCTTATAATTTTATTAGGAATATATTCCTTTGGAATTCTTCAGGATTGTTATTCTCTGAAGGAAAGATTTAGGTTGTTGAAATTTACATTGGAACACTAAAGGTGCCCTTCATTTTACAAGCTATTACCTGAAAATCCCTCTGACATTCAAACATAGTGAGTTGGCTTTATTTTTGTTCTTTGAGTGATTGTGGTTGGTTGATTTCCATAATACCTGAATGGCATGTTTGCAAGTTTCCAATGTTTTATTGTTCTCAGTTTTTTCTCACACAGGCCAATTTGGTTGGTCTTAGCTTAGTCAAATTCTACTGGGGATAGTATAGAGCGTGCATTCCTCCTAATGATCTAAGTTACTGACATTTTTTGTGATTTTGCTAGAAATGATGAATGACATTACCCAGAATCTCAAGTCAAGTAGGAGACTTTATGAGCTGAATTCAGATTGCACAAAGGGGAAAAAACTCACTGCACTACAGTCTAATCTGTCTAGTTTCTTTATGAATGAGATTCTGCTTGAAAACTGCTTGTAAACAACCTAATCCTACTTTTTAAATCTTGAAACAGATGTTGAGGATATTCCTTTCTTCTAATGTCTGTTAGTGACTTTATTCTATGGACCTTCTTTTCTAGAAAAAGTCAAGTTATATCCAGAGGAATATAAACACTTTGGAAGGATCGTCAAGGCTGTAAACAGTGAATGGCAATAGAATTTGAGGAGGGAAAGGTGCAGGGTCACTCCTAAGTAACCAAAAATAAAATTCACTTGCATTTGTTTTAAATACAAGGTTTGAAATCATTACAACTTTCTACCCTAATTCATTTTCAAGGTTTGTAGAAGGCATTAATAAATCTATGATTACTTGGACTAGTGAGATGGCATTGGTACATGCCACCTTGATGGGATTGTATTGGAATCCCCTGGCATGATTCTAAGTCGACCATTTGGGGCAAGTCTGATTGAGCATGTCCCAAATTGTACATCTCCTCCTTCTCTTATTCCCACTCTTATATTTAACAGGGATCACTTTTTCAGTTAAAATTTAAACACCTAAGAATAATTGTGTGTTAATCACAGAGTTCAAGCAATCGTAGTAGAACGAAACAAAGAGAAAATACTAAAATGGATAAAGTATTGATCACAGTGATAGGTCTAAGAGTCAAAGGGATCACACAAACAAGTCTAGTGTCTGCTAATACTAGCTGATAGAATAAAAAAGGGAGAGAACGATCCATCATGGGATGCGGGATACACAGTAGAGTCATAGAATGGCAGATGTCCTAAATAGCACTCTGGCCTCAGAATCAGCCCTTAAGGCATTCGGATATGGCTGAAGAGCCCATGAGAGTATTTAGGCATGGAAAGCCAAAACACCCTGGAAAAAAAAAAAGAAGACCTAAATGAAAGATCTCTGTGAGTGAGATCCCAGTGGAAAGAACAGGCCATTAAAGATGGAGGTACCTTTCTCTGAAGGGAGGAGAGAACTTCCACTTTGACTATGACCCTGTTGGAATAAGATCGAAGTCGGCGAACTCAAAAGGCTTCCATAGCCTTGGCAACTCATGACTAGAGTCTAGGGAGATTACTGACGCCATAAACAAGAGTGTCAAATTGTTAAGTCAACAAAGGAGTCACTGTGTGCTTACTTCTCATGTGGATCTGTCCTTAGTGTGTTGTCCAATGTGAAGTAATGCTATAACTAGTACTGAAACAGTATTTTACACTTTGTGTTTCTGTGTGGGTGCAAACAGATGAAATCTTTACTTAATACATACTGAATTGATCTTCTGTATATAAAGAGAATTGAAAATGAATCTTGATGTGAATGGAATGGTAGAGGGATCGAGAGATGGGAGGGGTGTGAGTGGGAGGGAAATTATGGGGTGGGGAAG